GTGATTCTTAATATGTTTTATGAATTATAGGATTAAATGAATGTTTAGTTAAATCATAAATATCCCATTGATGCTGGATTTTGTTCTGAAGTTGCAAAATAGAACTTATATCTTCTTTCTCTTCTTCATCTTCATTCAAATATTATCTTACCAAAAGCTAGAATTTATCTAATTCATCAAATATATTTTTCAAAGGCTTCTGATAGTCACTACTTTAATAAATCACTTAACTTTTAAAATTTCTTTGAATTTACTTTTCAAAGTCTTCTTCTTATTTTTAAAGCTTATTTTTGTGTTAATTCATCAAATGGGTCAAAAGCGATGATTGATAGTTTTAGTAAATTGGGCTACCTTCATCTATAATATTCATTAAGTCTTCTTTGATTTTGGAAGCTGAAGGTCTGTTTTAAGGTTTTAATTATAGCATTTAATCAAACATAGGTTGGAATATTTTATGCTCAAGTGGCAGGTCAATATGATTCTATCCTCTAGCAACAACATTGATGAGTCCTCTATCGCATAGTGTTGATCCAGTACAAAGGTAATAGAGTGTTACTCCGAGTGACCATATATCTATCGATTTGTTATAATTTTAATTTCCAGGTAGGACTTCAGGTGCAATATATTCTTATTTTCCTACAGATGAGCTAGTTTAATCACCATAAGATGCGAATCCGAAATCGCAAATTTTGATAATTGAGTCCTGGAAAACAAGGATATTTTATGGAGAGATATCTCTGTGTATGAAGTTTTAATCATGAATATACTCAAGACCATTCACTATTTGAAGAAATATCATTGATATCTCCTGTGTAGTCAACTTTTTTTATCGTTATTCTACGAAAGCTTTAAGATCTTGTTGAGCCAATTCACTTATTGATATAAATTTGTTATCAGTAGAGAGATATGAGTCGTAAATCTCAACGATATTCAGATGTTTGAGCTGAATTGATGAGATTTCTCTAAGTAGTCTAAGGAGCTCCTTAGATAATTCTTCTTTAGCCAGGTTTTCTGATTCAATTTGTTTTTTTTAATCATGTGGTAGAGGTTTATGCTAGCAATTTTGGCATTTCTGACAATGATTGCAGTGATTACACAATAAGCAGTTCGTGCATTAATGCTATTTGATGATTGTTGTTTTTATCTTTCCTAGCATTTCCTCTAATTCTTGTTACTTTAGAGCTACGAGTTATTGTTAAGGGTGTTCGAAATCCTAAGCTAAATAAACAACTGCCTAGCCGCCAGCTCCAATTTTTTTCAAAATTCTGTATCTATCTGCAGTATCCTTGATTTTCAATTGCACCAAGTGTTCCATCTTTAACTTAACCTTAAGTTATTAAATATAAATAAACCTTAAATTTCTGCTATTAAATAGACCAATTAAAGACCAAGTTTTTTCATTTGTTCTAGTTGCATGAATGGGGTTTTGGGGTTTTGGGGTTTTGGGG